AGATCGAACAATAAAAATCTTCAATTTGGCTGACTATACTGTGAAAACAGGAACCTCACCCTGTCATCCACTGGTTTGACTGGTATAATGAAAAAAAGGGGTGGATGTGGTGGAATCACAGCAAAAAGCCACACCTGACCAGAGGTGGGCAAAAAGATATGACAAAAAAACATAATATCGAGATACAACAAGACATTTTCACAATATATGATATGTAACAATATTCAATTTTTCAGAGATCTGATCAGTTGGAACAGAGAAAAAAGAACATAATAAAAAAAACAGATTTTTAACCAATATTTGGTACTAAATCCAGTTTAACAGGGCATATTTTGTTTTCTTTATAATGAAATATGTAGCTGATCATTGTTCTATTATTACAGACAAAATATACACACATGTTCAGAAAAGCACTGTGTTGTATCGTGAAATAAATTATCACGATAACGATATATACTGTCATATTGCCCAACACCACTACTGTCTTTTGTTACTGGAGCTGGCTTATCAGTTGCAAATACAGTGTATATGTGATAAACATGGTTTACACATTCTTAATACTGGCCAAAAAATTCATTGGCTTGGCCAATTTTCATGTATGTCCCACACAGGACCCTCGCTCGACACAAAAACCACAAATGCCCACATAAAAGGGCTACACTGCTGGCCACACGACTCAAGACATTCCAGCCAAGCATATAAGAAGCACCAAGAGTGAACGTAACCACTGTACATCCTCGCTCAAGCACCAGGCGGCACACTGGCCCCTTGTTCAGAAGTGACCCCGACTGGCCCAGTTGGAGGTGAAGCTGAAAGAATGCAACGCCTCTCTTGCGGCATCTCCTACCAAGAATCACATGGCTGGAGTATGGGTTTGATTGAGTGGACACTGCGCCTTTCAACACATGCTCAGGAGCCCCTACAGTACCGCCGAAATCTAATTTACTGCTGTCAAAGTTCATAACCGCCCTCAGCCAGCATAACCGTGATCGAAGGGTCCGAGCACATTCCAGGGCATTTCCTTTTAATTGGCTTGCATGCAAAGCACGGTCGGTAAACACATCTGCTCTGCAAAGAAGTGGGGATTAATGTGGATTGTGACTATCAGCCTCCAGCATCACAGACTCCGCGTCTCCAGTGGTCACAGTGGCATTCCTTAATGTTATTACAACTCTGGGGGGTATGACAGCTCGTCTGATATGTTTGTTTGCTATGCAGAGGGCAGCTGCTTTAATGGTTTTGGCAATTTGTATGCATTGTATGCAGACGTAAACAAGCTGTGAGATAGGCTTTCCAAACAGCAGCGATGCCTATCGGAATAAGTAGTGGTAAATGCTGGAGAAAGTTCCGACTGGAGCAGCACTTCGACTGTTCCCAAGCCCAAGGAAGCTTCCACGGAGGCGCTCAAATATAATAACGGTCGGCCTTTTAGTCTGTGGACTTAAACTAATTTGTTTTCCTCCTCAGATCAGCACCTGTCTAAACAGTAAGGCGTTGTGAGAGAGAGGGCCATTGTTCTGCGGACCCCGCTGAGTGTCGGCCCATGACGAATCTACCGGGGAAGGGTTGCGCAGAGGTGTGTGTCCGATCCAACAGAGGACGCAGTCGCGGCGTGGGCTAGGAAGGTTTCTAAACGCAGCGGCGATGTAAAGAGGAGGGCCAGTTTATGAGCTCAGGGAGTTAATTACAGTCCCACACCAGTGGAATGTATGGCGGCTCCGAGTCAGGAAGCCTACAAAGCTCTCACTCATTTCACAAAGTTCACTTTTATGCTCTGTGAGGAGCAACGAAAACAAAGTGAGTAATCAGCTGGAAGTTGCGGATCTTATTTAAGTTACTTCTGAACTCAGTCCTTGGAATGAGGCCACCGATTACTGTGGATACACTGCCTCACTGAAACTGAGCGCACATTATAAAGCTACCACCATCAGGTCAATCAGATGTCATGTTCATCCTCACGGTGTCTTATAAGGGCATCAAATGAACATCAATAAACAGAGCATTACGGTTCTCTCAGCTTTTTAACACTCAAAACAAGCGCTCACCCTCAAAATCAGACAATCAGACAACAGTAGCCTACTAAAAGGGGAATTCCACCAATTTTGTGAAATTTCTGCATAAATGGTTACGACATAAAAAAAGCCATTCAGAGTAGTTTGATGTGAGACATATGAAGATATGAAGTTAATGACTCTAAAATCTCCCTCACAGAAACGTATTACATAAAATGAATTATGAATATGCTGCCTGATGTCTGAGGCATTGTGTTATGAGAAGGTTTTGGCCTAAAACATATCAGTCATGGCTGAAAAATACATGAAGGGCTTTGAGAGCAAAATATTCTCAAAAAAAAAAAAAAAATTTTTATATTAATATTTAATTATTTCACCTTTATCAACATCGCATAGAAAAACTCACGTGTAGGTTCACTGGTGGTTTTGGATAGTAAGTAAAATGTCTATATTTGTGTTGTAGTCATGGTGACCCCTGGTTCCTAGTTCGGTCACCACAACAGTAAAGAAATCTCTACAATCACTCTGAATGGCTGTTTACATCTCAACCACTGAATTATGCAGGAATTTTGAAAAACGGGTGGAGTTCCCCTGTAGGTAAATCACTGCTTAACACAGAAACAGCCTACATGCAACTTCTGAAGCAGGCTACATTAACTCATAACTCAAAACAGAGAGCAACGACAAATGAAGCTTCACAATGAAGTCTCAGGCCTTTCAGCACAGGAATCAAGCACTGACCCTCAAAATCAGACAATTTCCCCTCAGAAATATCTGACATCCTGACTTCGTGTCCCCAGAAAAAGTTCCAGCCTCTGTGGCGCTCAGAAGAAACGAGAATGAACTCAGACCGAGACGTTTTCGCTCTTTATCTCTGCTTGTAACACAAGAAAGATTCAATTTGGGATTTTGAGAGTATCTGCCAGGGGTGGCTCGGAGTCAGGAAGCCTGCAAAGCTCTCGCTCGGTTCACAAAGTTCACTTTTATGCTCTGGTGAGGAGCAACAAAGACAGTGAGTGCTCACTTGGAAGCTGTGGATCTTATTTGTTAGCTCTAGAACTAGAATCACAGTCATGCAGGCCTTAGAACGAGACCGTTTCTGTGGTCAGAGCTCTGCTGTGTCTAAAACTGAATGCACATCATGAAGCTGCCATCATCACCGAGCAGAGCTCACAGGGCAGCCTTTGCTAGAGGTGGTTAACCCTCTATTGCACGATGTTGCCTCAGGGCAACAAACACATTTTCCTCACTTTACAATAGCATTACACATATTTAAAGACAACGATAGGATTAACAATAAAGGGAAGAGTTTGAGTAAGTCAGTAAAAAGCATGTGCTTGGTCATGTTATCTCTTAATGGGCACATTTAAACCTATTTTTTAACATTCAGTATCAAGATTTTTCATTATGAAAGTTTGCAGAAATATGTTTGTTGCCTAGAAGCAACATTGTGCGACAGTGGAATGGATTTAGCCAGTCACAAGCCAGGTCTCACCACTTCAGGGAACACAACTCTATATCATTTCTTCCCATTGTCGCACAATGTTGCCTCAAGGCAACATTCTCCAAAAGGACCTCTGCACACATTATTATTATTTTTTTTTATGTTTTTGAATTTAATAATCAGGTCCAAAAAAAGATGGTTAAAGTGGACTAAACAATCCTAACGTAAAAGCCCAAGGTAGCCTAGTAATATGCAGAAAAGTACCAGGTCCAAAAACTCCTACAGTGCTGAGCTCCTTCACAGAACCGCAGTGGAACTGTTTAGTACATGCAGCATCTCTCAGCAGAAGAACTGAACTTTGTTAGGCTCCATTCTGCTTAGTTTTGGATCACCTCTGGTCTTAAATAAAATCTGAAAGCTCCAAAGTGAGAGTAAAGCAGTCCAGGAGCTGAACCAACACAAGAGTCCCAAAAAAAGAGAATGTAAAGGGGAACTCCACCAATTTTTCAAAAATTCTGCATAATTAAAAGTTTAAGATGTAAACAAAGTCAGAGTGGTCTAATGTGAAACACTCTGTTCTAGGGAAACTTACAGAGTCAGAACTGTTCACAGTGGTGGTGATAGGAACCAGACGTCCACCTCTAAAAGCTCCCTCACAGAAAGTTACTACATGAAATGGTTATGAATTCACTGCCTGATGACTGAGACACTGTTTTAAAATAGTTTTGTAATAAAGTTTTGGCTTAACATGTATTTTAATCAATTTATTTTAATCCATTCATGGTGGAGGGGTACATGCAGGGTATTAAGCAAAACAGTCCCCAAAGAAAACTTATTTTTTTCAGATTATACACTATTTTATCATCATCAACATTACATATATAAGCCCAGAACACTCGTGTAGGTTCACTGGTGGTTCGGGATAGTAAATAAAATGTCTATATTTGTGTTGTAGTCATGGTGACCCCTGCTTTCTATCATCATCACTATAAAGAAATCTGAGCCATTTCACACCAAACCTCTCTGAATGACTGTTCACATCTTACTGAGTGAATTATACAGAAATTTTGAAAGATTGGTGGAATTCCCCTTTCAGATGTAACTAAGTAAAAGTGAGAAAATAGCCATAAATTCCACTCATATACCAAATATTCGAGTGAAAAAGGGTCATAAATTGAAAAAGACTAGAAAAAAAAGTACAAATCCTTTCAAAATTTTATTCACATTCATGGAACTCATAATCATAATCACCCATTTCTGTTTACAGCTAACAGAAAAAAATTAATGGTGCCAAAGGCACTTCAGACTCACTTCTGAAACTTTCTTTCAGTTTTTTTTTGCAGCCTATTAAACTAATCATGTCCTTCTTAACTTAGAAACAGCCTATAAGCAACTTCTGAAGTTCTGCTCAGGCTTCATTAACTCGAGTTCCTCCACACTGCATCTTTGAATGCTTCAGGCTGGGCTACAAATCAGAAAACAACGCCGAAGTGACCTTCACCATTAGCTCTCACGGCTTTTTAGCACAGGAATCACGCACTCACCCTCAAAATCAGACAATATCCCCTCAAGGTGGTCATTCACAGAAATATCTGACATCCTGACTTTGTGTCCACAGAAAACTTCCAGCCTCTGTGGCGCTCAGAAGAAACGAGAAGTGAACTCAGACTGAAACTCTCTTCCTTAAAACGCTGCTTTCTGCTCTTAATCGCTGCTCGGGAGAAATAAACGTGGGATTTGTAGAGAATCAGCCTCACATTCGAGTGGCTCCCTATCAGTCCGCACTCGGTTCGAGCTTGGAGAGGCCACGCCCCCAGGCGTCACTCCCAGACAAAGCCCCGCCCACCTGAAGTGGAGTACAGGTGGAGAAGATGCGCCTCTCGCGTTGTTTATTTTTTATTCCACCCGTTTTGCGGAGTAAACGCGAGGACGAACTTAAACCAAAATAAAAGTGTTCAGTTTATATAAATAACAGCTCGAGTGTTCATAAAAGTAGCTACCAAAAATCACCAAAAAAGAGGATTTGGCTTAAAACTCAACTACTTAGTCCCCCATCTGAAAAAACCCTGCTAAAAAAGACCATTAGAACCATTAGGATTAAAACCTGATGGTTTTGCTTTCTAATAGAAATGGGCTTAATTGTTACCATTAGAGACTAGTTTCCCATAGAACACCTTTATACTCTGTTAGGACCCCATTACACTCTTACAAAAGTTCTTCAAGTGTTCGTAAGTTAAAGGCTATGGTTTATTTAGAACCATGAGTTCTATAAAGAACCCTTTCATGCTTAAATGGTTCTTTGCATGGTGAAATTGGTCTTCAGATTGATGGAGAATGCTTTATATGGTTCTATGTAGAACATTTTTGAAATATATCACCAACAAGGGTTCTCATATTGTTACAATGTCATGTAACAAAAGAGGAACCCTTTTGGAGCTATACAGAACCTTTTTCAAAAAGGTTCTAAACAAAATTAGCCATACTAGCCATGTTGATGTGCGCAATGTATACATATTCAAAAACATTGTCACATCTGTAGTGAATTGTCACAAGCATTTCAGCCACGTTGAGTCTTGTGGTCCGATGCCTCCTCAAGGCCCAACACCATCAGAGGCCCCTGGGCGCTGACCACAGTGGCCCAATCTGTAGTCCATCCCTGTCCAGGATATTGATATATCGCTGCTGTCGGCAGAAAACCTCGTATTTGCATTTTTGTCATTTTTCAGTTTTTGACATCATTTGAAAATGCATGTTGTCCTTTATATTGTGTGTAAGTTTCATGATGAATGGACCAAACAAAATGGCCCAAAAATGACTTGGAAAAACATCTGGTTCCATTGACTTACATTAATAGTAAAGTAGTTTTTTCTTCCTTCTCCTGTAAAGTTACCATTTTGGGGAAACAAGTTTTTTTTTCCAGCAACAGCGATATGTGAATGACTAAAATAGAACTTATGAAAAAGTATATCATCATTCCCGACACATATACTCAGCTGAGGAGTAAAAAAAGGGGGCGTGGGGTCAAATGACAGTGGGGGAACAGTTATAAACTATAGGTGTACTTTCAGGAATGGGTTTAGCCAAGACAGGTTTGGTGTCCAAATTTTGCTTCTGTAGTGTAACACTAGAAGTCAATAGTCACCCAAACATTTTCTGTAAATACGTCCTAAAAACTTCTCACAAACCACATCCAAACCTTCAGTAGCACAGACTTGTGTTTTAGGACACAGTATGACTTACTGTGAGCTACAAACGTGAACAAAACTCTGAACGTGTAGGTTGTGTAGGTCTTAGAATGAGACCGTTTCTGTGGTCAGAGCTTTGCTGTGTACGTGTAGGTTACCAAAATGGGTGATTTTGGTGACTAAAATGGCTGTATTTGCAATGTAGATATTGCAACCCATCTCCACTACTGTAAGTCCAAATCAATAACTTTCTCTGAAATGCACCATTTTGCATCAGTCCACTCTGAATATTATGTCTTAATGACTGAATTATTTAAATTTTTAATGATAAAAAAATCAGTGAAGTTGCCCTTTAATGTCAGATGTACAGCTAGTTTGTACTGCAGACAGTGATAAAGCAAAACAGCCCAGTCAAATCATGTTTTGTTGATTTTCTATGTGAAAATAAGTTAAAACACATCCTCTATATTACTGCAATATTACTGCACAATCTCTATTAACTTTCTATTTATTTGCAGAGTTTAACATGTTGGAAAAATAAAACATAACGTTTTCATTTATTTATTTTACTTTTGCACAGGCCAATTTTTTTTTTCAGCGTGTTTAATTTAACAAATAACCAGTAATTGTCCATTAATCAGCTCCTTGTTGAGGATGTTTTATCTTATTTTCACAACAAAACAAGTTGATATAAATTTTGCTTTATTAGTTTAACACTAGAAGTCAATAGTCACCCAAATCTTTTCTGTAAATACATCCTCAAAACTTCTCACATTTGAAGAGTTTACCAGAAAAAAAAACATGTTTGTATCTCAGATTGAGTTTAGTCCAAGGTCATCAAAGAACATAGCCAAAGAAAGCTCCTTTGATCGTTCCCCATCTCTCCCCGTGTCTCAGCTGCGTGTTTCTAAACATTCATCGGCGTCAAGCAGTGAAAAAAGCCAGCGCCAATTAAAAGTCACGGCAGACAGAGGGCCACCATGTGACTGAATTCCCATACACACCAGCGTTCACGCCGAGCGCCCGGCCGTGATCTTAAGTGGCCCTCATTAGCCATATGAGCATGCTCTAGTGGGGATTAGTGTCACACAGGCTTTTCATCCTCAGGGGAGACGTGGTGAGGCCTTTCAAGCTGCTTCTGAATGCGGGAAGTGTCGAGCGTGCTCTTCGTCCAGGCCACGGAAACCGCGCTGCGTCAGATTCCGCAGCCGTCGGGGAGGCAAGCCTCAAATTGTGGAAGTTGAAAAGTGCAGGAAGCTGGATAGAAATGAGAGGAAACCCTGCTAGAACTCTTCTGTTCTGAGAATATTGCACACGTGTTCTATTAATGTTTTCAATGGGAAGTTTTTTTGTTTCCAGAATGTTCTTCTGGAACGTTCTCTAAAAAGATCGTCATGCGACATGATCTGTGGCCCTGACTACATCCTCAAAACATCCTCCGAATGTTGCAGTCAAAACATTATGTCTTAGTTAACATGTAACCTTATAAAAATATTATTTGAAATGCTAAATATTCAAAAAATGTTTTTCAACATTAGATTAAAATTTTTTGTTAAACATTATTAGAACTTGTGGGTAACGTTAGCCAAAGTTACAGGAACGTTCCCTGCTAGCTGGGCGAGGGTTAGGTTTGAGTGTGCAGCGCTAGTCGTGGGGAACGCGCCCATGTGACTGAACTGTGGACGGTAGATGAAGTACAGATGAACCAGTGCTGTCAAAAACAGTCAAAAAGAGTCCATCACTACTGAAACATTTGGTAAAGTTTCTGTAGCGTTATGGCTACGTTCACATTACCTGGCTGAAGTGGCACAGATCCGATTTTTTGCCCTAATGTGACTCAGATCTGATGTTTTCAGGGCTGTGTGGACACGCAAATCTGATCTTTTCAAATCTGACCTGAGCCACTTTAGCTACGTTCACATTACAGGCCTCATTTCTCAAATCAGATTTTTTGCTCAGATCCGATCTCTCTGACACAATGGTTCACACTCGTTTAGGTAAGTGACTCAAATCTGTCATTAATGTGACGAACCGGCATCCTGAAATGACCCTCATAGCACATCCTACTCAGTAACGTCACGTGAATGATATCACAAGCATCATCAGCACAAACTAACGAGCAGAACGAGCTTCGCTGAGAAGATCATTAACTCTGATCAGCTCTCAGCTTCATTATTAGAGCGAGACGAAGGAGAAAAAGGTGAGACGAGCTGCTTTTCCACCGTTTACAGGCTTTAACTTCTGTTCGGCGCTGTTGCCATGGTAACGCTGAATGATGGCGCAGCGCAGTGGAAAAAAAGCACATGAATTCCAATCTGAGCGGCACATTAAGGTCGCATGGCCACGAATCAGATACGTGTCTGATCTAGGACCACATATGAAAGTGACTCAGGTCAGATTTGAAAAGATCAGATTTGTCCACACAGCTCTGAAAACATCAGACCTGAATCACATTAAGGCAAAAAATCAGACCGTAGCCTTGGTAAGGTTTCTGTAGTGTTTTGGCTACGTTCACATTACCAGGTTGAAGTGGCACAGTTTTGTTTACGCACCTATATCGCACAATATAGCAAGAATACTGAATTTTGTACCATTTCTAGATAGAAAACAATAGCATGCCATGTGTGAAGAGCATCAAAGATGGACACAAAGTGTATTTTTGTGCTTCAAGTGACATGACTACCACCTTCGGCACCAGAAAACTAGAGCTGCCTTTTTCAATTGGCCATCAGTCCAGTACTGAACCCAGCAAACATTTCCCTGCTGGCAAACTGTGGGCTTATGGTGGGCAGTTTGGGAATAAGCAAACTCACACAAAACCCACACAGGCCCTGTGTGGGCTGGCCCACACCGGACCTGCATCACCATTCCAGAATGTGGCGCACTGCAGGGCTGACCATAGGCAATGTAGACCTGGTCAAGCCCACACAGGCCCTGCTGAGCTGTGGACTTGGACTTAACTAAGGCCATAGTTATGTCTTAGTTGGGTCAGGGCTGTCTGCACAAGGCCAACATTAAGGGCCATTTGACAGTGAGCAAAATCTAACATCAAGTCCTAAGCAGTCCGTCCCCTCCAGGGTCAGTGCAGGCTGGCTAGCTGGGAAGGTCCTAGTTTCATGGTTTTTGGAGCTCAGGATTAGTACAAACAGGATCTAATGGTACACAGTGTTCTTCTCTGTGTTTGCTACCACTTGCAGCTGAAGCTAATGACAATCGAGTGACTGCTTTACTCCTTCAGGTGAAGATAAAGCCACCAAGCACTATCATATCACCAACCAGAGCTCCAGAATGTGAACTAGAATGTGGTTTGTTGGTGTGTCTGTTGCTACTTTTGCAATTTAAAAAGGTGACAAGCTAGTTAGGAATGCTAGCCTCCACAGAATGCTCATATTTTGACACTTGACAGACAAAAATATGAGCTTTGCTTCATTCTACATATGATTTTGTGTAATTGGAGACATTTGTGAGAGCACGTGAGCTCAGAAAAGAGCACTGTATTGTTTGATGGCAGCACGGCTAACTTATTAGCAAGCTAATGAATTCACGCTCAAGAAAAAATGGAAGCTTTGCTTGACTCTACACACATAAGCC